CCTCATAAAAGTCAGGCAAGGCTTACTTACTAGAAGCATTAAAAAGGCACCTGCGATTTCCTCCTGCTTTTTCTTGCTGCTTTGGAAAAAGCTGAAAACCCCTTTATTTTCTTTCTCTTTCACGGTGTCTGGGTTCTGTGATGTTTGACAGGACTCTGCTGGTATCTACGGCATCCCATTCTTTTGGTCAGGAGGGGACTTTGTTGGGTAGAGAGGCTCCTGAGTGTGACAATTCCTCAAAAGCAGGGTGTGCTGGTCAGTCTCACATGTGCTGCAAATGACAGGGACAAGGTGCCGAAGTGACCCACGCACTGACCCTCGCCATTGTCTTCCGAGTTTTCTTTTCTTTGAAACTTTGCAATGACTGTATTTCCATGAAAAGTGAAGACAGTACACTTCAGAATTTGGGATGAGGAAAGGCAGACGGTAAAAATCAGATATCATTTTTAAATGTTTCACTTCAGTTTACCAAAGGACCTATTCGATTGTTGAGTTACAGACAGCTTTAAAAAAAAAAATGTTCCCTGATAGATACGGAAAATCAAGCATTAAAACAATGTAGACAGAATTCCAAACGACCACAGTAAAATAGTCCCTATCAGTTCACGCAGCCTCATTCTTCTGGACTTGGGGTCAGCAGTCTCATGAAGCTGTCTGTTTCTCAACTACAAAGAGTTCTGGAAATCTTGATCAACACGCTGGAAAGGTCTGACCAGTGTCCAGGCAAGGCCACCAGAAGCCTGTCCCCACGAATCTATTTTTTGGATGGGAGTGTGAGGAGTTTGAAGTGCCCGGTACAGTCCCTTTCTGTGGGCTCTGAGGTGGTCCTTCGTCCTTGAAGTCACAAACTCTGACCCTACCAAGTTGCAGACACTTCCTTTTTATTGTTTTGTTTGTTTGTTTCTCTCTCTCTCTTCTTTTTTTTTTATTGTCAGCCTTGGCCACAAGCTGGAATCAGCTGAGGCGGGGCTAGAAAATGCACTGGTGCGTATAGTTTTGTCCCACATTTGGCGGACCTGATTTAACTGGGCTGGGGTGTGGCCTTGATACTGTTTGTTTTTTTTCTCCCTCGCAAGCTTTCCAAATGTTTCGTGTGCAGCCAAGATTAGAGAACGGCTGTATTTAAAGCTAAGCTTCCTTCCTGCCTTCGCTTACACAGGGTTGACATAAGTTGGGCGTAACTAACAGAGTGGGATGCGTGGTTAAAATAAAAAATCATTCTAAGTTAATAGGAACACTTATTAATTTAATTTGAGGGGACAGGTAATTAAGTTTACTTATTTTTATAACAGAGATACTGGGGATTGAACCCAGGACTTCACACAAGCTAAGAACACGCTCTACCACTGAGGTAGACCCTCGCCAGGACCACTTATTAATATGGAGCCTTTAAATGCCCATTCTTTGTAACATTCCACAAAATCAAAAGAACAATTAAAAACAAAAGCCCACATACAGGCCCTTCAGACAAGCGTCAGAGTGAAACAGAGCGGGCTGCAGGTGGACAGCCACACCTTTTCTTTTCTTTACGCCCATTTTACGAAAGATAAAATTGGAGTGCAGAGAATTTGAGTGGCCTGCACAGGGTCAGGGGAGTAATAATCAGAGTCAAGAATTCTTACCAGGCAGCCTGGCTCCCACGCTGCAAGCACAAACCACTAAAGTGGAAGAGCGCCCCCACCACCGCTATGCTGGTGCCCCTGGCAAAGCAAACTTCCTTCTGACCAAAGTCCGAGGAGCCTCCCCGCCTTCACAGGCTGAGCTCCAGTGATCAGCCCCTCCTTCTGGCCTCCTGAGGGGCTGCTGATGCAGGTGTGCCCACTTCGAGTGAGCCCCACGGGGCCCATGGTTTGAACCCGTCTTGCCAGATGCAATGGTGTTGTGGAAAAATGTGTTCCAGGTCAGCATTACAGCTCGTTGTTGCAGCTCAGTCGTGACAGCAACCTGGGTTCAGGCGAGAGACCAAGCCGCACCCCTAGAGTTGGAGAACTCAGGTTTATAAGGCCAACAGGACCAGAGAAGTTAACACTCCAAGCTCTGGACCCCATCTGTATGTTTACACAGGCTTTTATAGGCTGTAAGTTTACACTTTGCAACATCATATGCAAATAAAGTATAACAAAAGTTCACCAACCAGGAACGATCTTTGTAGAACTAGACCAATCAGGAGTAGAGAAATAACCAATCAGGAGTGAGCTCCATGCAAATGAAGTACTACAAATGGACCAATCAGAAGTTACCGAAGTGGGCCAATCAGGAGTGAAGGAAATAACCAATCAGAAGTGAGCTCAAGGAACCCATAGAATTTTAGGGGTAATTAAGCCATTTCAGAGGCAAAAGATGAGATAGAGCCTTTGGGCCAGGGAACCAGACTGTGCTGGCAGGAGAGTAGTGGCCCTGCTTGGGGGGTCCTGCTGGTCTTTTTATGGGGCTTCCTGCCTCAATGAAGTGAATGTAACTCCAAGATCATCCCTGTGAACTCAGAGGGACTGAGACAAGACCCCCCCTCTAGTCATCTGATGTCCTTTGCACACATAA